CCTTCCTAGCTGCAGCTGATACCCGATCTCAAGATTGTTCTGCCTATGCCATACAGGAACTCTTACAGATCTATGAATGCAGAGAATCGCCCAAAGAATCGTATGTAAATTGTATCAGGAATGTTGTTATCATTTGCAATTGTCCCCTGTGTCACAAGCACGTCATCTTTATTTTAAATTTAATGTATATTGGTTATCCTCTTTCTTTAAATTGAATACCTGATTGAAAGAAGGGCCTAACTCCAACAAAACCTTTTTTGAATTCAAAATAGACTACTGAATATTTATTGAAGGAGTTGAAAATGAAATCAATTAAATCAAAGGTATGTGTGTATGTATGGCTTGGTTTGTTTTAAAAAAACATCAAACAGTAAGTCAGAAGACTAAAAATGTTTGATTTACACAAAAATTAGAAAGTATAAAAACATGAAAATAACCATTATTTGAAAAACAGAGAAAAATATAAAATAAAAGATAAATATTAAAAAAGGTGGAGTTTGGCCTTTCTTTTAATGAGGCATTCAATTCCTTTGCAAGCCAAGCTCCCCTTTCCAGCAAGATATAAAGTGTTGTGTCCATAATTTGTTTAGTTTTGTCAAAACGATGTGTAGATTTGTTCTAGGGTTTGCATGAAAGACCAGACAATATGACCAAAGGTTTGTAGCACCATGTAAACTCTCTAGTGAGTGAAGTCTCTGGAGAATTAGTGGATTCAACATTTCAGACAGGATGCTTTATCTGTTAAGAAATGCTCAAAACCCCATGATGCTTCCACAAATGTTCATTAAGATTTCATTATTGAAATCATCAACATTTAAAACCTCAAGCCATTTTGTTGGGGTCTTTTAGTTCTTGCTTTAACACAAGAATTTCAATACCACAATCATTTATTTTGATTCCCAGGTCTGGTCGGCAGTTGTGGAGGCGTTTCCCTGCCCACATCCAGGAGATCTTACTCCCCCTCCTTGATGCTAAGTACGTCCCCGCCTCCTCCCCTTCTTGGACCAACATTCCTAAGCCCATCTATCGGAGTAAGAAAGGCAAGACTTACAAAGATTGGGTGTGTGCGTGGACAGGATATCTCGTCACCAAGGTAACCATATACGGAATTTGTAGATTGTGACAAATACATTGATGATAAATTGATATCAAAGTTAGTGTGTCTTAGATTCAGAGAACCTATGAAGTGGACACTCTAAAAAATGACGTGTGTCATTCAATTGGGGAAAGCAGCTGAGGAGAGCAAACTCTTGCTTACTAGAAACAGGCTACCAACCAAAATGCCATTGAGTGTGTATATCAAGTGACTGGTCCTCTCTTTATTTATACTTAAGCGGTAAGATTGCTTAGCAATGAGTAACTCATTTACATTGAGTTTGGTTGATTTCAA